TGAAATGCTGAGGACCTTTGGACTCTGAAAACACCCAGCACACTCAAGAGGACAAGACATTTCACAGGACTAATTCCAAAATGGCCAAGAAAAGGGATAGAACAGTCTTGATGAAAGAAATTTTGCACTTTTGAATGAATTTTGAATGAAACAACCATTCCATAAGCCAGAACAAAAGTTACTGCAGTAAAACATGGCAGAACTCCTCCTATACCTGAGGGTACTTTGCTCTTCTTTCTTGGACAGCAAACTCTTGCCATTTTCCCGCTATCAGCACACATTTCACTATGTGGTTCAAAGTGGTTCATGCTTCTGAGGGAAAAGTTCCCTTTTCCCAGCCAGTCCTAGTACAGGCTTTACTCTGGAGTTGCCAGCTGCTGAGATTATTTTTAAATGTGCTCATAATTACACAACGCCAGACAAAAAATCTGTACACTTTACTGAGTAGATCAGCTGAGAAAGTATGTTACCAGTGTTCTTGTACCCCAAGAAGACAGTCTCTGTCATGGCTTTCATTTAACTTAAATTCTGAATCCCACAGACTGGAGTGCTCTGCCAGCAAGTCAATCACAGCCAACCAAGACCAGTGCTGAAATGTACTGGCTGGCAGAGCTCTGCAGTATCCAAGTTGAGCAGGTAAATGGAAAAATAATGCTGCACATGTTGAAAAGCTTAAAAATCAAAGCACAGTGACTTGTTTTTTCTACCATGGTAAACGCAGTAATTATAAAGTCATTATAGAGGAAAGGCTGGAGAAAAGCATGGGGACACAACACCTGGTATAGCAAAACAGGGGGTATAAAAATATTACAGTATGAAGATATGTCTTTTCCACAAAGGAAGCAAGCATGTTTGACGAGAATGGCCATAAATACTGTTTCTATAACTCACATAGCATGAAATGCAAAGCTAGACAGAGCATTCACCTGACACTGGAGTAGACTCTTCAGGAGCTCTGAAATAGCTTGATTCCCTCTTACCTCTCTCCCCACATGCTAAATTACAGCCTGAAGAGGTGTAGCCAGGACTGAACCAAAGGCACTGGAGTTTTCTAATGGGATTTTCAGCAG